TCTATTCTATTCTATTCTATTCTATTCTATTCTATTCTATTCTATTCCATTCCATTCCATTCCATTCCATTCCATTCTAGAACAGGGGTGTCAAACTCACACTGTCACGGCAGCATCATCTAACTATCAGGACTTTTTCCCCCTTCACTAAACTGAGCGTGGGCATGGCCGGCGCATGATGCATCCGGCTTGCGGGCTGGGAGTTTGACAGCCTTGATCTAGAATCTCTATATTTGCTTCTTTCTCATGCCATTTTTACAATTGTTCACATGGACTAGCCTGAAATCTTTGGAAATTTAGGAACTCATTGATTAGTATTGGGGAAGAGAACAATTGATTTAAAACCTTTAAGGTTATTGTTTTTGAATAACATTTTTGGATGTGAAAGAAAGCAATTCATTTCACTAAGATTTCTCCTCTTTCAGGTGAAGAACACGGGAGGTGTTTCACAATAGAGTACGTGATGCCCATGAATGTCCAGCTGACCTCTGAATCAACTATCAATGTTTTAAGTAGGTGTTTCCCATTTTCTGAGTCAGGGAAGATTTACCTTTTTGTGTCCTTATGTAAAGAAGACATAAGAATGTTAACCTGGCTGCAAAAATGCACAAAACTGCTAGATGGCGAATTGACGAAGAAAACACATTTTGGTGTCATCTAGTCCTTATCCAGATCTTTGCAGCACTACTTGGACAAAGAACTGCATCAGCGGTTGGGGGGGCTGGGGGGGAGCCCAGAATGTTGCTTCATTTTCAATTGATTTCTGATTGTTTGCTTTGAAGGTAGCTCTTTTGTATCTAAGTGCTTGAGAAGAGAGGAAAAAGAGAGGCCTTCACTGCTGTTCTTGCTATCTCATTCCACTGGGCCACTGTTGATTTCCATGTACCGTTGCTGTGATCTGATACTTGTTCAAGCAGCAAACCGATAGATTGCTATTTCAAATAAGAGCTAATGCAGTAAGAGCAATGCTGCCAGACATTCCCCTAGTGTCCATGACAACAATGCCACCATTCAACAAGGATGGTGGTACTGATCACCAGAAATACTGTAGTATGGAAAGGGAATCCAGGCAATGGATAATATGGACAGAACATACAATGTTATCCTAGTCAACATCATGCAAGTAACAAGCCTGGAGTAGGCAACCTCATGACTTGTAGATGTTTTGGACTGCAAACCCCACCATCCATGACCCCTGAAGGAGTTGATATCCAAAACATTCAGAGGAAATGAGATTGCCTTGACAAAAATGATACCACAGACAACCGAGGCTCAGATGAAAGTGATACTGATAGCTTTTCCTTTCAAATCCTTCCCCACCCCACAAAAGAAGAATAAAAGCAAAAGGAGATCACCCTGTCACAAATTAAGGTTGAGAAAATTTAGAAGGAGGCCTATGAACGGAACCAAAATGTCCTGTGAGAAGAAGGGCCCACCTTCATGGATGGAAAGGTCAATAAAGCTGCCATTGAGACTGAATATAAGGAGATAGACAGTAATCCATGAAGGCTCCATTTGCCCCATTCAGTATGGAATTACCCCATAGCATTATGGCCCTAAGGTCTCTTTATCTAAGAGGTAGGACAGTATGGCTCTAACCCTGATGCTTTTACCACTTTCAATCCCTCCCGCTGGATTGACAGGTCTTCTAGTGGAGGACATCAGTTTTCTACTGATGCATATTGTCCACCAAGTGATTCAGTAATTCAGAAGGTTACATGTACATTACCTCCACAAGGTAATCATATAGGGACTTGAGTTTTTCCTTAGTTTTTCGAGTGGACTGAACATTAAAAGAAACACAAACCAAGGAAACAGATTTGGAAAAAAATAACAATGCAAAATTCATGGAAAGCAGAAAGCATCTTTTCTACAAACGGGTGTTGTGTAGGCATTTGTCTGTATATTTTTGTAGTGATGTATAGAATCCCGTCCCATGACATTTGCCTCACTCATTACACTTGTTTCCAAAATGTCAGATAAAGATACATTTACATATTTGGGGATGATCCTGAAATTTAAGGATTGCTACAAACTGCATAGAAAGAGAGACCAGAAAAAAACCCTGGAAAATATCCCTTCTACTTGTGATCTTATTTTGACCCTCAATGACTCTTCCTCACTTATGATTTTTATAGAAATGATTCGTTCTGCCACCCCATTCCCCCTGGTGAGTCTCTTTTTCATGTTTATTGGATTCATCTTGAGCAACATTGGGCATATCCGGCCACATAGAACCATCTTGGCCTTCGTGTCTGGAATCTTCTTTATTTTGTCTGGTGAGTTTTAAGATGGCAGCTCTATCCCCACCCCCTCAAAAAAAAAAACCTTTGTTTAAAGATATTTGAATTCAGTCTCCTGAAGCAGGTGTCTGAGAAGTGAGAAAGAATAGGCAACAATTTGGGAATATTAGCATGTGTGGAATTTAGTTTTTCCTTGTACTGTGACGTGATAGTGTGCCTCTCTTCACTGAAACAGGATGCTATAGTTGTGCAATTGCTTAATTACTAGTTTTCATTTCCTTGAATATGGCTAATACTTGTTATTTGTAAAAGGCAGACCCTGGTCACTTAATTGATCTAGCCACAACTGAATGTTACCTTATTTTATTTGAAATAGAAACTGTTCCATTATTGTAATTTATTGTTTTCTTGTAAAATTCTGGTCAGTGACTGTAATATATATATATTTAGTTAGCATTAGATGATTTTGAGCCTAGAGGCTATTTCTTACTTACAGTGCCACCCAAAGTTGTAAGAACAAAACAGAGACAGAAAGGATTATACTCATCGTGAGTTACTTGGAGGAAGAGTGGAAAAGAAACAGAATCAATCAACCAAGTCCTTTCATCACCAGATATTATAGTTAATTATAAGAATGCCCCCAAAACAGAAGAATAGAGTAGAGTAGAATAGGGTAGAGTAGAGTAGAGTAGAATAGAATAGAATAGAATAGAATTGGAAGGGACCTTGGAGGTCTTCTAGTCCAACCCCCTGCCTAGGCAGGAACCCCTACACTTCAGACAAATGGTCATCCAACATCTTTTTAAAAACTTCCAGTGTTGGAGCATTCATAACTTCTGGAGGCAAGTTGTTCCACTGATTAATTGTTCTAACTGTAAAGAAGATGGGAGTCAGACAAACTCCATGATAACAACCTGATAAAAATGCCCTATTTATTTATGTTTGCTCCTTTAAAAGTGTTTAAATTTTGTATGTAAACAGATCAGATAATTTTTGTTCTTGAGTGATATATCAATCACATAGTCAATAAATGAAACTTTTTCATAAGAGCCAAAGTCTATTACATGGATGCATAACAATGGACATCAAGTAGAATTTCTAAATATAATATGTCCATAAATAAATAGAACCCAAACCAAATGAAAGAAACTGGGCAGCTAAAATTTCCATTAAATTTGATGTTTTCGTGACACTTTAGAGCTACTCTGTCACAGTTTTGGCTTATTCTTGCAATAGCTAATATATAATGAGACATCCTGTACGCCTTACAATGGCTGTTATTTAAAAAACAATAATAACATATTTCTGATGAAATTGCTTTTGAGTATATTTCAACTGAAATATTTGAAATAGAGATCTAAATTCATAAGGTGAAATAAAATACAATATGGAAGATTATTTAGCTCAACAGTATCAAGGAGATGTATTTTAATATTATAAAGAATAATATAAAGAATAATATAAAGAGACATTTTATTTATGTACTTACAGGGCAGTTTATAAAAGGAAGATCTTGAAGCAAAAATCAGCAATAAAAACCTGTGCTTTGCTCACAATTGTAATCTTGGTTACATGTAGCTCTAGACCAGGGGTAGTCAACCTTTTTATTCCTACCGCCCACTTTTGTATCTCTGTTAGTAGCAAAATTTTCTCTAACCACCCACCGGTTCCACAGTAATGGTGATTTATAAAGTAGGGGACAAAACCCCTACCGCCCACCATGAAAGCTGGAATGCCCACTAGTGGGGGTGGTAGGGACCAGGTTGACTACCACTGCTCTAGACAAACTTCCTTTGATCTATGACATAATGGTGAATGGAATTAATGTACGAGGCTTGAACTAAAAAGATTTCTGGAAACGTGTCTTCATCTGAGGGGGAAAACTCATATTTTATTCACAGCACTAACAGAGTATTACACAAGCAACTGTGGCCACAGATCTTAAAAGCTCTTACTTTACAGTCCCCAATTTACAAGTAGATCAGAAAAAGAGTATCTAAGAATTTAAATCTGTTGCTTAATTCAGCACTAAATCCTCATTTCTCAGTAACCATAGATGCAACTTTGGCATAATGCCTCTTCCCTGTCCACGTTGGCAAATAACCCCTTAAAACAAACTGGGAAATCTATGGACTTTAAATATTCTTGGACTATAATTCCTGTTCACCCCCAGGAGTAGAGATGAGTTCTACAACATCTTTCTCTAATTTTGTGTCCATCGTAAATGTGGACTTCACTTCTCTTAACCCCCAGTCCCAGGATGGTCACCTGGAAGGTGATTTCCAATAATTCTAAAGGGTTTGCCTATCTTGGCAATTTCTAGTTCAAATCCCAGAGCTCCACAGCCAGCATGGTCCTCAATGAGAATTCTGGGACTTGAACTCCACACACCTGGATATTGCTGTGGTGGTGATGCACTATTCTAGTAGGAATCAGAATGAGGAGGTTTCTCCTGTAGCAATTGGAGAGGTCATGCATTTCCTATGCTTCTCCTAAAGCAGTGGTTTCCAACCTTGGCAACTTTGAGACTTGTGGACTTCAATTCCCAGAATTCCTCAGCCAGCTTTGTTGGCTGGAGAATTCTGGGAGTTGAAGTCCACAAGTCTTAAAGTTGCCAAGGTTGGAGGCCACTGTCCTAAAACAAGCTGAAGGTTGCTTTGATTCTCTGCAGAAGGTTGTTTTTTCTTCTTGTATATTTTGACCAAAACCTTTTGCTTCCCAGGTTTATCTCTGGTGGTGGGGCTCGTATTGTACATCTCCACCATCAATGATGAAATGCTCAATAGAACCAAGGATTCGGAGACATACTTCACTTACAAATATGGCTGGTCATTAGGTTTTTCTGCCATTTCTTTTCTTCTAACTGAGGTAAGATGAGGTCATTGGACACACTATGGGAAGTACATTTTGTTGCCACTTGGTCAGAAACTTGATAACATATGTTTGCTATCTTTTCTGTATATTTATTTAGGGGCAAAGAGGGCAAGAGGGGCAATGCCCTTGTATTCCATGGCAATCACATTGTACCATTTTTATTGCTATTCTTTTAAATTAATAACAAAACAGTTCCATCCCAGCAGTCTTCCCTGATCTGAGTGCCTTGATGTCCATATCGGATCAACAAGTCTTATAATTTTCAGCAAAAGCCATACTAGCTGCAGAACTCTAGCATTGGAGTATCAGAGGTCTGCCATTTATAATAGATAAAATAGTTGAATCTTGACTCTGACATTCAGTGTAACTCAGGCCAGTTTAGACTGCAGACTTTTAATAGCTGTGGAAACCATTTTGATTATAGCAGCAGAGGTATTTTTTCTTGCTTCAAAATAAGGTAAAATAGCGTTACTGCTGGAATTTTCTTCCTTTCCACACAGTATGCAAAGTATACTGCACAGTATGCAGAGTCATATCCTATCATTATGACTTCACTAACATCAGAATCAAAATTGTGAAGTTCATACATGTGCCACACTGTGAAATATTTTTAGAAATTTATTTTGAACTCTAATAAATGCTCAGTCCACTTAGGTATATATCACAGCTTTGTCATAAATGTTTGGCCAGTTATCTGCTTATAAAACTCCTCTTCAGTTCCAAAGCATATTTTCAATACACATTTGTGATCCATACTGGAAAAACATTTGGAAATGATACTAGGGAAAAAGCATTTCCCCCAAGCGAAGGCTTGTAGAACAAGAGGGATCAGGCAATAGACAAATCAGTAAATTGAGCTAGAGTAACAAATTGTTCCATACTGTCAGGAATTAATTGAGTTGTGCCCAATTCCTGTACTTATCTGTTCAGTTGACATAAATTCTATTCCATCTAAGCAGTTTATTGTAGTTTTTCTGAACACCATGTTTTCACGTCTTGATTACTTCAGCTTGATTCCTCTGTTAGAACAAGTGAGATTTTGTTCCCTTGTGATTATCATTTGAAAGAAAGACAAGCTAGTAAATATATTGGGCCTCCCTCTTATATGGAGAACAGTTGTTTGAGGAATCTTTTTTTTGAAGGTATAGCAAGCAGGAAAGGATAGTTTCTGAGAATATTACTCATATAAGAAAAAAAAATCTATTATTCTGACTTCTCAAAATTGGACTCCTACTAAAGCGTTTTCCCTCTAAGCTATCCAGTGGGGTTACTGTGATTCTCACCTACCCACAAAAGCCTTGAATTAGAAACCGAAAGAAAAGGTCTACCTCTGTAAACATCACAGGTTTCAAAATTGCTTATTGATTTAGAAGACCTGCAAAGGGAATATTTTTGTCAGACAAAAGCGTGGACCAGTGTGACAGTGATTGATGGCTTTTCTGTCAATATCAAATGAATTGGTACTTGATGTTATGTTTTAAAATAGCAAAGTAGTTCAACCGGAAAAGTTTCCCACAGATCTGCTCCTTTCAGTGAGAAGAGTTCTAATCATGGCAGATTGTGAGAAATGGATCTGTTGATGCTGAAAGTTGCATGTATATCAGAGGTGGTATTCAGCAGAATACCACCTCTGGAGAAACGGTAGCGGAAATTTTGAGTAGTTTGGAGAACTGGCAAATACCATCTCTGGTTGACCCCGCCCCCATCTATTCTCTACCTCCTGAGTCCCAGCTGATCGGCTGGGTTTTCTTTTGTTGCCCTGCACAGGAGAACAGAGCTGGAAAGCAGGTAGGTGGGATGGGGAGGGAATGGGGATTTTGCTGTATCCTTCCCCTGCCACGCCCACCAAACCATGCTCACCAAGCCACACCCAACCCACCAAGCCACGTCCACAGAACTGGTAGTAAAAAATTTTGAATCCTACCACTGATGTATATGTTTCATTGCAATGGCTGCCTTGTCTGCTTGGATCCATAGAGCATTGCATCCTATCCTTCCAC